CCTGCTGGGATGGACACTTTGGTTACAAAAAGAAAACTCTCAGATGATGCAGATGAGGTGCAAACTTGAGGTCAGGTCAGAGAGAGCTCTCCATCTACTGCTATGTCTGGAAGGGGTGGCAGGACCATCTGGCTCAGAGCTTCCCAGATGTCTTCATTTCATAGACCAGTTAAAGAAATATTTGGGTAGAATGATGTGACAATTTTTTTTATTAGTAAGAATATTTTTACAAAAGGTTTCCCTTTTTGCCTTTTCTAGTTTTTCTTTAGTAAGTTTGTAATACTTTTTTTTTAAAAGGCTGCCACTAACTTACCTTAGGTGTACAATAATACTAAGTACACAATAAAACTTTCTTTCTGATGAAGTTTATTTCCCCCTAATGTGATAATATGTTTTGTTCCCTAGAAACACACAATTCTTACCTGTTTGCTTTGGCTGCCAGGAAGCTCAAAGGTTAATTTATTATTTGATTAAAGCAATTATTTTAGCCACAAATTTTGACGAATTTATTTCTCTCTTCCTTGCTTATGCTTTTAAATTAGTATTTTATGATATGATCTTAATTTTATTTTTCTACTTAATTTTATAGGACTTTTTATTAAAAATTACTTCTAATAATCTTGGGAAGTTGGCAATGTCAGTTTGAATAAAAAAATGAGTCTAAAGATGTTGGATATTTTTCCATATAATTGCTGGCCAATTTTACTTCTTTTGAAGTGTCTGTTCAGTTCTTCTGCCTATTTACCAGTTGGGTTATCTGTTTTTTAATGTTGAATTTTCTGAGATCTTTATATATACTGGATATTAGTCCTCTGTCTGAGGAATAGCTGGCAAAGGTTTTCCCTCATTCGGTCAATTATTTCTTTATTAATTATTTCCTTTGCTGTGGAAAGCTTTTGAATTTTATGCCACACCATTTATTGATTCAAAATTCTCTGATTATCTGAGTTAATAGGGTCTTATTCAGGAAGTCTTTGCCTGTGCCTGTATGTTGAAGTATTTCCTCTATTTTTTCTTCCAACAGTTGCAAAGTTTCTGGTCTTATAGTTAGGTCTTTGATCTGTCAGGGAAATGCAAATTAATCCTATGCTGAGATGCCATCTCACTCCAATTAGACTGGCAAGCATCAAGAATACAAATAACAATAAAAGCTGGCGAGAATGCAGGGGAAAGGGAATTTTTATAAACTGTGATGGGAATGTGAATTAGTACAACCTCTATGGGGGTCAGTGTGGAGGTTCCTCAAAAAGCTATAAATAGATCTACCCTGTGATGTAGCTCCACAACTCCTTGATATTTACCCAAAAAGAATGAAAGTCAGCATATTATAGGACTCATGCATATCCATGTTTATTGCACACGTGGGCCACAATGAAACCCACCATACAGTACAATTAATATGCTCCAGTTAAAAAAAAAAAAGAACACTCTTTAACCTTTTCTTCCACAAGTTCAGAGTAGTTAGGGAAGTGTTCAGTGGAACTTTTAAGTGTGTGTGTGTGATCTTTGAATACATATGAATCACAATCTGAAAGTGTTGACTGCTTTTTGTTACTTTTTTCTTTTTAATATCTTAGGCCCTTACAATTCGTAGAAGTGTTATTAATGCAAGGCCTTCGACTCTCTATTTTAAACAAGCTTAACAGAAATCATTGCTGAAATCTAACTGTGGATAAATATGCGAGCTAAAATTTTCCTTTGCTTTTGACTGAAAATTGCAGTAACTCAGTGTGCTAACACTTTATTTCATGCTGATTAGATTGTTTAATTTGAAGTCAGAAATGTCTTTTATGCATAAAAACCCAGGAAATAAATTGTTAATTAGTAATTGTAGTAATATTTGGAAGTCCCAACTCTCAAAGCCTAGTGTTCATGGAGGAAAAAATACCGACAGGGCTGTTGAAGTGTGGAGAGACAGTCCATGAACGTCACTGTCTCTGGTCATCTGGGGGGCACCAGCATTGTCACAGAATGGATTCCTTCTTGCTGCCTTGCAGAAGGGGCTTTGATTTTCAGTCTAAATTGAAATCATTTTTCTTTTAAAGGCAGCAGTACTCTTGTACCTTAATCTAATGGAGCTCCCCATTTTGGGGATTTATTATCCTGCCTTCCTGCTGTTTGGTTACTCCTCAGTGCAGCCAATGGTGATGGATCTATTAATACATTAAGTCGATGGATCCCATCTATTAACACTGGTGCCTGGGCTGGAGCAGAGCGTGATGCAGGCTAAGTGCTTCGCCATTGGCTGAGAGGCTGGATTCGCTGCCACTCTTCTGCTTTGGACTGAAAAACTGTTTGTTTTAAACTGAATAACTGCCTCTTCATTCCAAGGATTCTCTGTAAGGAGAACAGCATTGGACAGAGAGATCAGAAATGGTCCACTGGCTTGGGCATGTAATAGCTCTGTGACCTTGGGAAAGACTTGAAATATCTCTGAACAGAGTCATATTTGATCTTTTAACATTGGAGCATTGTAGAAATTCAACCAAGCTATTTACCAACTGTAAAGCTCTACAGCATGACAGTAGGCATGTACTTGTCCTCCCAGGCCCATTTCACTGCTTTGGAAATGACATTTCGCCTGCATCTGTTACACACTGCTCCATAACAAACCATCCTGTAATTTGGTGAGTCCATGCAGTGAGGGCACAAATTTTGCAACTCTGTGGGTCACCTGGGTGGTTCTTATGCAGGTCTCAACTGTGTTCCTGATGGCTCAGGTAGGGCTGGAGCATCTAGGATGGCCTCACTATTATAACGAGGGCCTTGGTGCCGGTTGTGGTCTGTGCTTCTTTCTCCAGGTGAGTGCATCCTGGGCTTCCTGTCACAACAGGGAGAACATTCCCTGAGGGTGACACTAGACCTCAAGGCCTCTGGTGCTGAGGGTTGGACATCAAACCACATTACTTCTCTTGTATTGTAATTAAAATATACCAGAGGTCCAGCCCAGATTTAAATGGGAATATACTCCACCTCTGATAGAGATAGCAGCAAAACCACACTGCAAAAGGTCACATGCACGTCAGGGACAGAAGGAGTGGCTGCATGCAGTACTATATGCAAATATCTGCCCTTGCTGAAGCTGGAAAAATCAGAGGCCTAGATCCATTAGTAGCTCTTGCCCCAGCCTCAGGGAAGGAATCTGTGCAGCACAGGAGAGAGGAACTGACTTCCGGGAAGAGGCAGAAAGAGAGCTGGCGCCTCTGAGAGCATCCAAGCCCTGAAGGCAGCTCCATGTTTGCTCTCCTTGCAAGACAGTCCCGCCCCTTCCCTCCTAATCTAGTTTAGGTTGAGTTTCTGTCAGGTGCCTCCAGGACACCAGCTCAATACGCGCTGATGGCTTCTCCTTTGTTTGCCTCTGCTGGCCAGTGGATGAAAGCATCGGGAGCAGGGTTTTAAATGAATTATGAACACAGGCACGGCTGCCCCTTCTCTCTCCCCTGTCCACAATCAGCTCAGGACTGAACAGGCTGGCAACTTCCCCGCAGTATGATTCACTCTTAATTTGAGGATGGAAAGGGCTCTGAGCTCCCAGGGTGCAGCATCTTGTGAAAGATCCTGTTTTGAATGACACCCTAAGAAGGACCAGGGAGCAGGCACCTGCAGGTTCCTTAGCTCTTCTCAGCAATGATTTTAACATTTGTACCTGGAGAAACTCCCAAAGTCTGCAGGATGACAGAATCTAGTCTTGTTCCCATTTTGAACTCACTTCTCAGGACTAGGCTTAAATCAGAGTTGATCTCAAAGTGCTCTCGGCAAATCAGTCGCCTTCCCTCCGTCCTCTGGGGTCATCTTTTGGGGATAAATGGGATCAAGAGAGGCGGTTGTCTTTGAGACTGTAGGCTTTGAAATCTTGAAATCTTAGGCTTCAGAAACAAAAGGCAAATCCTTCAATCTTCAAGAATCAAAAGAAGAGATGATCGTTTCTGCATTGGGCTATTCAGCGTATCCTAAGTACCTTTCCATCTTCGGTCTCCTTTTGTTTTCTGTAGGATGTCATTATCCAATTAACTTAGCAAACCTCCTCCTAAGAACTTGACCTTTTCAGTATTCCATAATTTAATTCTCTAACCACATTACCTTCCCAAAGCGTTTCTTTGGTCTAACTCACAAACAATAAACATTTCTAAGGATAAGGTCCTAGCCTTGACCTTGGATGTGCCCCTCTTGCTGGAAGGAAAGGGGATTTTGACCTGGAGCAGGGTGACCAGAAGGTGGCCAGAAGCTCCTTTGTGGTGAGAGTGGTGTGGATGCTGAGGCTACCTTTGGGGTCAGGCTTTGGGAAACCTCTCTTTGGAGCCCTTCTTTAATGATGACAGAGAAAAATGATCATGGAGGATATTTTTTCTTTCTCTTGAGCGGCTTTTTCTAAGCCACTTCTTGAGAGGTCTGAAGGGATGAAAGAAGTTTGGGGGAACAATTGCAGCCCCTAAGGATTTAAACCCTGAAATTAGACAGACATGGGTATAAATTCTAACCTTGCCTTTTAAAATCCATGCCACAGTGCAAAAATTGCTGAGCTTCTCTAAACTCTATTTTCCTCATCTATAAAATGGGGATAACTATACTTCTTCAGATTGAAGTGAGAATTAAATGAGAAAATATAAGTCAAGCATTTGGCACCTGGAACATGGTATGAGTGTTCAGTAAATGTTACCCAATATTATTGCATTATTTATCTAATTTGATCAAGTACAATTTAATTTATCTAAGGAGGTAAAAATGTTGAGCTTTGTAATGTTTTGAACAACTAATAATAAAAACAAAAATGTTGCTCTTAGTCAGTTTGGGCTACTGTAACAAAACACCCTAGATTGGATAGCTTATAAACAATAAAAACTTATCTCCCAGTTCTGGCATCAGAGGTTGAGAGCAGGGGACCAGCACACTCAGGTTCAAGGAGAGACTTCTTCTGTGTTGCTGAATGAGAACTTCTCAGATCCTAACATGATGGAGAGAGAGCAAGAGAACTCTCTGGGACCACTTTGATAAGAGCACTAATCCCATCCATGAGGATTCTACCCTCATGATCTAATTACCTCCCAAAGTGCCTATCCTATCTCCCATCCCAGTAGAGGTTTCAATTTCAGTATTGGAATTTTTGGTGGCTACAAATGTTCAGTTCATTGCAGCTAACGGGCAGAAGAATCAGCTGGAATTTTTAATGTAATTCATAGATCTTAGAGCAGTCTCTGCTTTTCCAGAGTGGACTGCAGTGTGATATTCAGCAACCGCTTATTAGCAGGCCAATTATATTGAGACACTAAAGACAGTTGCCCTACGGCTGGGCTTTACCTAGGGAGAAAAAAAAGTTTGTCCACACTTCTTCGAGATGAATAACAGTTGGGAAAGGTCCAATAATTTCCTACTTTAAAAAAAAAAAAAAACAGAGACGGATATTGATGATAGGTTCTTGGATAGGCAGCTGCAGTCATCTGAATTGCTCACAGTGCTGAATAAATGTCCATATTCTGTAGATGACCACTTAAGAGTAAATAAAACACTGCCATATTTTGAGGCAAGTATCTGGTAGGGCTTTCTGGGAAGTGCAGCAATTGCTTCTGGGGTTTGTACTTAATTATTTGGAGATATCCTTAGGAAAGAATAACGTGTACTCGTGAACCAAATTGAACCCAACATTTACGTGGGGTTGAGCATCTATCCCAGTGTGCATTAGCATCATTACCCCCAACATCATGATTAATAATAACACTTCACTCTCAAAAGTGTGCTGATTTAGGAAACAAATTGTATGTTCACTCTCTCTAAAACCTCCTGTTCTTTCTTCCTTTAAAAATACATATGTATTTTTTTAATGTCCAAATTATTGCTGCATTAATATTTTGCTCTTAGAAGAAGAAAAATGTTCATCTATCACAAGGGAAACAGTGGAGACAAAAGAAACTGCATAAGTTGTTTGTGTTTCTCATTTTACCCTGCCTGCCAGGGAGCCCAGGCTAATTTGGAGCTCAATTGCAGGAACTTCTATTACCTAGGATTTTGAAAGCAAGTATTTTCTTACTGTTAATGTTACTTAGTTCTTGTTTAATTTTTGTGGCATAAGGGATTGTTTTACTATGGATGGCTTCGAATCAGTTTTAGAAACAAATAGGTGTAAAAACGGGAAAAGTTCATCAACATTTGAGTGTTAGTGTTTAAAGCTTTGTGCAGGTTTCCATTAACATCAGGGATGAATTGACCAAATGTGAAGCATCCCACGTGGCTGTCTAGAGTTGGTCCCCCATGATGATGTGCAGTAGCTTATTCTAGTACTTGGCATCATTGGGCCCTAAAGTCTTACCCAGCTCTAGTCTCATGTTTTTTTTTTTTTTTTTTTTTTTTTTGCTGGCTAACTTTGTAGCACCCTTCCCTGGATGAGTATATGGCAAGTTTCTTGCCCCCCCCCTCCTGACTCCATTCCTGGGTGGGTTGATTCTCTGAGTCTTGGCAATTAAAAGCCTCACTCTCAGCTACACTGAGCAGTGCAGGAGGAATTTCTTCTCCAGCAAAGAACCACAGCAGGCCATCTGGGAATGTCTACCACAGGCAGCGATTTTGGTGGCAGTGGGCCAGCACTGGACTGCATAGGGCCTGTTTCCAGCAGTGACACCTTGTGGCCACAAGAAGACATGACCGTGATGGCTCAGACATGGTGTCCATTTACATGAAAATTCTAGAAAGATCCTTTTTAGCCAGTGTAAACTCTGAGGGGGCATGTCTGAAGAGAGAAAGACATTACCCATTTGATTTCCTCTGAAAAGTCAGGTAAGGCATCAAATTCTTCATTATAGAGATGAGAGAGGTGTGACATCGATCAGCTTGTGGTGGGACTGCACCCCAGTTTTGCACCCCAGAGATATATATGGGACCAAGAGGGTTTGAGGAGGGAAGTGTAGTTCTTGGTTTATGATGCGGTTTGAACACTAGGTGAAGTCAATAAGAAAGTGCTTTGGGGAAGCACTTTGATTTAAGATTTTGATTTAAGATTCACAAAATTCAGAATAAATGTGTAAAGTAGACCAAGGTGATATTATCATGGAACCCAGCCCTGCTGTGCTGATTTGAATTCCAAATTGTAGAGGTGGCGAATGCCTAAGGAGACAGGAGGCAGAGCATAATGCAAAGGGGGAGAGGGGGGACCAGAACAAGTTAGTCCCACATTGTGGCTGAAAGGTGAACTGAAATCCTACCAACCTGTAACCGGGATTTCAGGCCAGAAGCATCCTGTTACGGGGCAGATTTAGGCAGATGCCTTTGCTTTTTAAATTTTATTTTATATTTATTTATTTTTATATGAAACAGAGCGATCCCCTAGGGGGCATTTCGGATTCTTACTTCTTGTTTCACTTGCCAGGAAATATAGATACAGAGAAAAAAAATTCCCTGGGAGGAAAATATAATTTGGGGAGTGATGGTTGTTTATTTGCTTCATTTAAGATTCAGCAAAACCAGAACTGACCCAGCTCTTCCCTGTCCTCCAGCAAATTTACTTTCCTCCTTTAGCTGCATCAATTTCCTCTTGCTTTCCTTCTGAGCTGGAGGAAGCAGTAGCCTGGCTTTGTTTTGCTGTCGTATACTTTGCTCTGACATCAATCACACGCTCGACAGAACATTTATTTTACCTCAG